GTAGTATTTCTCCTCCTCCTCATCATAATCATCATCATCATCATCATCACCATCATCATCATCATCATCATCATCATCATCACCATCATCATCATCATCATCATCATCATCATCATCATCATCAATATCATCATCATCATCATCATCATCATCATCATCATCATCATCATCGTCCTCGTCCTCATCCTCTTCCTCTTCCTCCTCCTCCTCCTCCTTCTCATCATTCTCCTCCTCCTCCTCCGCATCATAATCATCAACAGCAGCAGCATCATCATCAAAATTATCAGCATACCAATGACCATCATCGCCATTATCATCATCGCCATAAATCATCATCATCCTCATCCTCATCCTCATCATCATCATCATCATCCTCATCGTAATCAGTATCATACTCATCAGCAGCATCATCATCAGCAGCATCGTCATCAACACTATCAGCATCAGCATAATCAGCAGCATAATCATCAGCACCATCATCACCATTCATCATCAGCATCATCAGTATCACCAGCAGCATTATCACAAGCGTCATCATCATCAGCATCACCATGGTCATCATAATCATCATCATCATCATCATCATCATCATCATCATCATCATCATCATCATCATCGTCATCATCATCATCATCACTCTCAGCATCAGCATCATCATCGTAATCGGCAGCATCATCGTCACCATCAGCAGCAGCATCATCAGCAGCATCAGCATCAGCATAATCATCATCATAGTCATCCTCCTCCTCCTTCTCATCATCATCACCATCATCATCATCGTTCTGCATCAGCATCATCATCAGCAGCAGCATCATGATCATCGTCAGAATCAGCATCAGCATCACCATCATCAGCATCACCATCGTCATCGTCAGCATCATCAGAATCAACATAATCATCAGACTCATCACCATTGGCATCGTCATCAGCAGCAGCATCAGCATACTTGCCAGCAGCAACAGCAACATCACCATAATCACACACATCAGCACCAACATCATCATCACACTCATCGTCACAACCGCAGTCATCTTCATCATCATCATCATCATCCTCATCATCATCATCAGCATCATCATTATCAGCATCCTCATCATCATCATTACCATTATCAGCAGCATCATCATCAACATCATCAACATCGTCATCATCATCAGTATCATAAGTACCAAAATCATCGCCGTCATCATCAGAATCCTGATCATCATCAACATCATCCTCATGATCATCCTCAGCAGCAGCATCCGCATCAGCAGCATCATCAAGAGTCTCAGCATCCTCATCACCAGCATCGTCATCATCACCATCATCATCAGCGTCAGCCGCAGCATTACCATGATCATCAGAAGCAAGGTCAGCATCATAAACCTCATCATTAGCATCATCAGCATCACCAGCATCATCACCATTATTATTATGATAATCACAGACATGATCATCATCATAACCAGCATCATCAGCATCATCACCATCAGCATCAGCAGCATCATCATCAGCAGCATCATCCGCAGCGTCATCATCACTCTCGTCAGGATCATCTGCATCAATGCGGTCATCAGCATCATAATCGGCATCAGCATCAGCAAAATCATAAGTATCATCAGCATCGTCATCATCATCAGCATCCTCAGAAGCAGTATCATCGTCATACTCAGCATCACCATCATTTCATCATCGTCATCGTCATCACCATCATCATCATCATCAACAGCATCATGGTATGTCTCCTGGTGCTCCTCCTCCTCCTCCTCCGTCTACTCCTCCTCCTCCTCCTGAAAGTCCTCTTCTTCCTCCTCCTCATTCTCCTCCTGCTCCCCCTCCTCATCCTCCTCATCCTCCTCTTCCTTCTCCTCCTGCTCCTCCTTATCTCCACTCCTCTCCTCTCCACTCCTCTCATCTCCTCTCCTCTCCTCTCCTCTCCTCTTCTCTCCTCTCCTCTCCTCCTCCTACTCCTCCTCCTCCTCCTCTTTCTCGTTCTCCTCCCCCTCGTCCTCCCCCGCCTCCTCTTCCTCCTCCTCTTCCTCCCCCTCCGTCCTCGTGCTATACTTCTCTTTGTCCTGCGCCCGATCCCCATGATCCGTCTGCTCTCCCTCATCACATCATCCTCCGCGTACGGCCGTGTAGTAGCTCGGGGATCGCGCCTGTGTCGCCGTGGGTGCCCTTCCAGGGTTCCCCAGTTACCCCCAGCTATAGACGACGCAAGGGGCACGACACTGGTAAGGAACTCGAGTCAAACTTTCGTAGGGCACGTCTGCTGAGTTCTCGCGCTGGCCTGAACTATCGCAAGCGTTGGGTCCAACTTTCTGCTGAAGTCTCGGCAAGCTATGCTCTGCGTCCCAGTTATATGCAAGGCTTGACTGCCTGGTGCGGTGTGCTACGCCATGAAGGGCGTACCGCTAGTTGCGTCTGACAGTTCGTCCCGAGGTCCGTCGTCGTCAATGTCACCGCTATCGGACATTCAAGGGCCTCCTGAAGTCAACCATGACAAGCCGCAAACAGGACATCGTAAATCGCACATCGCTCATGGGACACCCCGCTGGCGTCTAAACGAATGACAATACGTCCAAACTGCACGCGCCTGTGCCAGGCGCGGTTTGGGTACCCCCCTCTGCGCACAGATTCTGCACGGGCGAAGGCTACGCCGACGACCCGTTGCTTCCCTGGGTGCCTACACGCCTTAAAAACACTTCCCAGATGAGCAGGCGCCTGGCGCAGTTACGTGTGAAGCATCCGCCGACTGCGTGTTCAATACCTCCTGGGGTCGTGGACACGTGAAAGGACGTGCCCAACGCGCACGCGCCAGGCGCATGTTGGGTATCCTCCCCTCCGTGCTTGTACTGTTTCACATTCCCCTTGGGGCCTGCTGGCATGAAAAGCCGTGCCAGACGTGCACGCGCCAGGCGCATGTTGAACACCTCCTTCCGCGTACATGTGTTCAGAAGTGAAGAGTCTGCCGACCGTGGTTGGATATCCCCTGGGGGTCTGGACGTGTGAAAATACGTGCCACACGCACAAGCGCCAGACGCATGGTAACTACCGCCCTTCGCGCACGGAGCCCCTGGACCAGCGCAGCCATGGACGCCCTGGCCGCCACCAACTCCTACTGCTCCTCCTCCTCCTCCTCCTCCTCCTCCTCCTCCTCCTCCTCCTCCTCCTACTGCTCCTCCTCCTCCTCCTCCTCCTCCTCCTCCTCCTCATCCTCCCTGCGTCTTGTCCTTCGACCTGCTCCTCCTCCTCCTCCTCCTTCTCCTCCTCCTCCTCCTCCGCCTTCTCCTACTCCCCCTCCTCTTCCTCCTCCTGCGCCTCCTCCTCCATTCCTTTACCAGTTTTCAGGGCGGGCCAGGCGTTTCGCCTGAGAATCCCTCACCACGTACGACTCTGAAGCGTAAGAATGGGCAATCGTTTCTCAGATGAAGGGCGGGTCGTTTTCAAAATGTAGCTGTCGCCTTGGCGCCGCGCGCATTCCTTTGAAAAAGCTGCCAGGGTTTCACGGATTGAGGGCGAGTCGTTTTCAAAATGAGGCTATCGCCTTAGCGCCGCGGCCATTCGTTTAAAAAACTTGCCAAAGTTTCATGGGTTGAGGGCGGCTCCTTTTTCAAAATGCGGCTCTCGTCTTAGCGTCTCAGCGTCTTGGCTCCTTTCAAATGTGCAGGAGTTCCAGGGGTTCCCATGATCGAAATCCAGAAACAGCGTTTTGGAAGGATTCAAGATTATGTGGGTGCAACAGTTACGTTGACTCGCGGTGTTGAAGTCCCAGGAATGGCGTTCTGGCGCGATTCAGAAGAGTCAAGGCGCAACAGTCAGGTTGATCCGTGGCGCTGGAATCCTGAGAAAAATGGTTCGGCATGAATTAGGGTATTCAAACGGTTGTCGTCCACCGAGGCAGCTCCCTCAATGGAAATGAGCCGCTGTAGGGGCCTACGCTAAAGGGAGATTGGAGGGAGGGTAAACTCAAACATCCTTGATGACTCTTGGGTTTACACTGGTCCTCCTCCTCCTCCTCCTGCTAGACCTCCTGCTCTATCTCCTCCATCTCCTCCATCTCCTCCATCTCCTCCATCTCCTCCTCCTCCTCCTCCTCCTCCTCCTCCTCCTCCTCCTCCTCATCCTCCTCCTCCTCCTCGTCCTCGTCCTCGTCCTCCTCCTCCTCCTCCTCCTCATCATCATCTTCATCCATCATCATTCCTCTCGTCTGGCCCTTCGACCCCCTCATCCTCCTCCTCCCCTTCTCCTTCCTCCCTTCTCCTCTCCTTCTCCTCCTCCTCTGCCTCCTACGCCTGCCGCTTTACTCCTCCTCCTCTCCTCCACCAAATCATCCTCCTCCTACCGCACCTCTCCTCCTCCTCATACTCCTGCTCCTCCTTCTCGTTATCCTCCTCCTCCACCTCCGCCTCCTCCTCATCATCAGCAGCAGCATGATCATCCTTCTTCCAGCATTCCTTCCTCCTCCTCATCATCCTCTTCCTCCCCCTCATCCTTCTCATCCTCCTCCTCCGACTTCTCCCATTTCCTCCGCCTCCTCTCTCTTCCTACGCACTCCTACTCATCCTCCCTCTTCCTCCTCCTCCTCCACCTCCTCCTCCTCCTTCTCTTCCTCCTCCTCTTCTCCGCCTCCTCCTCTCCTCCTCTTCCTCCTTCTTTCTCCTCTCCTCCTCCTCCTCCTCCTCATCCTCCTTCCTTTTCCTCCTTCTCTCATCCTCTTCCTCATCCTTCTCTCCTCCCCCGCATCCTCCTCCTCCTCCGTCCTTCCTCCTTCCTCCTCCTCTCCTCCTCGTCAGCCTCCTCCTCCTCCTTCTCCGCCTCCTCTCCTCCTCTCCTTTCTCTCCTCCTCCTACTCCACCTCATCTTCCTTTCCTCCTCCTTCTCCTCCTCCTCCTCCTCCTCCTGCTCCTTCTCCTCCTTGCGTTGTACAGACATTGGCGGGTTGGTCGTCCCTCTGCCTCCCCCTCTTCCATCCTCATCCCCCTGGACGCGCCGGCGCAGGCTCGTAAGGCCGTGGCGATCTGCGCAACCGCCGACGCCGCCCTGGCCGAAGCCGCTGCCCTGGCGGCAGGTTTTGCGCCCGGACGCTCAGGGAGGTGAAGGAGGAGGAGGAGGAGGAGGAGGAGGAGGAAGAGGAGGAGGAGGAGGAGGAGAAGGAGGAGGAGTCGGAGTTTGAGTCAGAGGAGGAGGAGGAGGAGGAGGAGGAGGAGGAGGAGGAGTTGCAGTCGAAGGAGAGGGAGGAGGAGGAGGAGGAGGAGGAGGAGGAGGAGGAGGAGGAAGAGGAGGAGGAGCGAGCGAGCCGCAGGAGAGGCGTCCGAGTGACGAACACCCACCGCGTGTGAGACCTGAGAGCCACAGGGGTGGCGGAGGGCGGAAGCCTGGGAGAGGGTGGGGCGCCTCAGGAAAACCACACCCAAGAAAACCTCCCAGGCCCAAGCCCAAAAGAAACACTAGGGGGCAGGGTTCGGGCCAGAACGCACCGCTCCTGCCCCCCGCTGGCGGGGCTCCAGGCCACGGGTGATGCGGTCGATCGCCGTGAGCTGGTTCGCCCTAGTCTTTGGATTCTCCGAGAAACCTTGGCACTGCGCCCGCAGCTTGCGGGCGGACCTGAAGGACTCGGACCCGTTGAAATTGCCACCGCACTTGCGGCAGCAATACACGGAATTGACACAGAAAACATCATGCCCCAATTCAGCGAATTCAGCAAGCACAGGTTGGGGTACGTGTGCCGAGCCGCTGGCAGCCGACACCTGCCCCAGCGGCTGAGGAGGGACCGCGGGAACCGAGGAGGCCTCCAAAGGCCGAGACGTGGACCCCAACATCCTATCGGCCGCCTCGATGGCCGCCGTGACCCTAGAATCCGAGACACTAAGCCACGCCTCAAAACTCCGCAAGAAGAAGTCCTCGGCCAGGCTCTGGACAAGGGGCGAGGGAGCACATACACGATCAGCTCCCGAACGAAGAGTCTGGAGGGTACTCGCACACCGAGCGACACGATTGCACCTTCGACACCGATACTCAGACGTCCTCTGGCAGAAGAGCAACTCGTGGTCCTGGGGCCTCTCGAAAACCACACGCTTGGGCACCTGGGCGAGCTCTGGGTCCTGCACCACGACAGGGTCAGCTCCCCACTTCCGAAACTGCACGACCTGGAAGGCCGCCCACGACACATAGTGCAGGACCTGCCTGTGTTGCTTCAGCCCAGCTGCCAGACTGTCAGCCAGTGTCTTTGACACCATATGCGAAGCGCTGCCACACTTCGCGAAGAAATCGGCCCAGGCATTGCCGACGTAGGCCTCCAGCTCGTCTGGCATGGCCGACCCGATGATGTCCTCCAGCTTCCTGTGAGCTGGAGTCCACTGAAACCGCACTGGTGGCAGACGTGGATCGCGTGCTCTGGCAGCCGAAAAAATATCTCTCCAGACTCGGGCGTGCTTCGCTTTGCCAAACTCGAGCCTCTGGTCCCAGGACGCACCTTCTTCCACGAGCGATCTCAGATCAGAAATGAAAACCTCATGCCCAGGATGCCACTGAAGTCCCATCTTAATGGCATAGCGCTCAGCACGTCCTACTGTCTGCACGTAGTAGGGCAAAGGCCCATATACAGCTCTGGCGGGGAGCCACGTGACGGGGTCCAGCTGGCAGACCGACCACCCGCACCTACGTACTTCAGGAATGCTGGCCGAGAACCCCGAACCGTCAGTATATGACGTGGGCCCCCAAGAGCCCGAGACATCTCCCCATACAAACACCTCCTTGGAGACCGTGGTGTAGTGCGGTACAGGAACAGGCTCGGGAACCCCATAGATCAGGTATCTCTGGTCCCAGTCGGTGCACCCCAGCATCTGCCCAGACGCCTGAAGCATGTCACGAACCTCCTGAAGCTGTTCTGGAAACTCATAATACTCCTGGTCGGGGTCCCCTTCGAGGAGCGGCGGGCAGTCGTAAAAGATATGACCCCAACAGGAGTCGATAGCCTTGCCGCAGGCCTGACATGGCCTAATGGGCCTCCCGTGCTTCATGTCCCGACGTGGTGGGATGGGAAGGTTGTCAGCCCACAAAGCCTGCAGCGCTCCGAGGCGCCTGTGACACTTTATCTTGGCGAGCGCGTGGCGAAGCGCACGATGCCACACCTCCGCCTGCTCGGTGTAAAAATGCTGCTGCAACCTATGGTGCTGCCATCGCTGAATGCCTTGATGCAGGAATACTCGTAGGTCTGCTGGACATATACGATATAAATCAAAACTGTTTCCCAAATCGTCGACCAGGATGTGCTCTGACGACATGGTCCAGGATATGCGCCTCAAAGTAAGCCAAGTGGCCCCGAGGGGCCCACGCGCCTTGGCCCAGGAAGGTGAACTGTCGAACTTAGCACCCAGACGCACCCAAGCCTCCCGAAGTCTGCTAGGTTGCACACGTCCGTCCCAGATCCAGGAGGCGTATTTGAGCACAATATCCGTGGTGGCGTTATATATGGGGTCATAACACTCATCCCGATGAGATATGAGATACGCTGTTACCCCAACCATCGTCTTACCTGGAGCACCATTTAGGACTGCAGCACAATGTCGCAACTCGCGAAGAGCGCTGTCGCTAACTCCAGCAACTGCACCGCCATGCGCCGCTGATGGAAGGGCGCCCGTGCGCCACAGGCTGGTAGCACTCCGCCCCACGGCGGACTTCAACATACGAAAACGATGCTTGCGCTCTCGAAACTGCACCAACCTACGCTTCTCCATATGCCGAAGAACTCGAGGTCCTGTGAGCTCGTGTCCCAGATTCCTCATGTGGGCCCTGTACGGGATCTTCAAGGTTCCCAGGTGCCTCTTGAGCTGTCCCCAAACTTTTTGGTTCCCAGGGATACATCCAGACTTCGGCGGCTTCAGGACCATCCCAAGATCTCCAGCATCCGACGTAAACGCCTTGGCCGCACGGGCCAGGTTGGACACCTCCCTCAATACAGGCGACACGTACTGCAAACCCACATCGTCCATGAGCGTGCGTGGCGTGATAGAAGGTGCAATGCTGGCCGTGCGCTGGACCGCTCGGTACGTGAGGAGGTAAAGAAGGTACGTGGCGTGCGCGCAGCCCGCAAGAATACCCTGATGGGCCACCAAGGGCCTAGATACAGACCCAAAACACTTGATCCTTCTCGGCTGACGGTAGGAGCCCAGGAGCAACCACAGGAGCCTCAGCGGGTACCCGAGCTCTCTAGCTTCTCGGAGAAGTGCACTGTGACTGACCATATCGAAGCACTTGGTCATGTCCAGGAGAATGGTGCATGTGTGCTCACCTAAAAGTTCTCCTATCTCCTGGCTCAGGTTGTGGTCGAAGGCTGAATCGGTCGACGTTTGCCCAGCCCTTGACCCCCACATATGCTCGCACCTGTGTGTCTCTTGCCACTCCGCCGAAAGCGGCCGACGTAGCTTTCCCCACAACCTGACGAAAGTATTGCTGAGGACGATCAACCTAGTGTCCCCGTCAGGCTTGGGCAGGCGAACAAGCTCGCTGTAGAGCCTGTCCGTGGGCCAGGCCAGCCAACTCTCAAACAGCATGAACATATCGGCCAGGCTCTGCAAGGCCTGGTCGGACAGCACATCGAGCGTGCGTGGCGCGATCCTCGTCTGGCCCGAGGCCGTCTTCAACGGAAAACTCCTGATGGCCCCACGCACCTGCGATGCAGTCAAAGGCGGAAGCAACGGCCACTGAGCGTGATCGACAGGCAGCGGCAAAGAACACGCCCCGTGGTAGGTCCAAACGTCCTTCCACTTGTCGAGCGTGCGGTCAGCCATCTGATATGGCTGAGCGTCGTGGGAGTAGGCAAGCACCTCCTGTCGAGCCCGAACCCTGGACGAATGTGCCCGAGATGCTCCTCCCAGGAAGGCTTCTTTGGCCCACTGCCTCCAGGCCCTCTCTGCCGCTCTTTGTGCCGTTCTCAAATGATGGTCAGCTGCGGCAATGATGGTCTTGGCTACGTCCTCAAAGTCAGCCTCGACCAAGCCGATCAGCCCTCGCCGAAAGAAGCCTGCGAAGGCAGCATCCAAGACACACAGCACATGCTCTGACCGAGCCGCGCGCCTATAAAAAGCAGCCACCTCGTTGAAAGCCACTACGACCTTGGTGTGCTGCAGCGGCGTGATGTCACATACGGCAGCACAAAGCTTGAGGCGCTCGATGTACCTCACCAGCCGCTTCTTCTCAGCCACAAGGTGCTGGGCCCATCGCTTCGCCGTGGCCCAGGCCAGCACGGTCGGCTCCTTGTAGGTACGCCTGCGTGGCGGCTGCCATGACAAGTGCTGCCACTTGAACTGCGGCGGCCCCTCGCGTCCGATGTACTGCATGGCCTTAGCACCCACTCAGTCGTAGCGCCCTGCCAGCTCGTAGTCCACCCCTCGCAACACGGAGTCCCAGAGCGAGCTCAGGTCGTCAGTACAGCTGACCCGTTGGAACTCTGTCCGAAGCCTGTGCCACGGGTAGGGATATCTAGCACAGCCAACTGGCGGCACCACCGCAAAGGGACGTGGCTCCACAGGGACACGGCACCACGTGGGGCGATCCTCGCCCACGAGCTGCAGCTCCACAGGAAAATGCGGCGGCGGCACGCCCATGGAGTCATACTGAACCTCTGGCTTGCCCTTGATGCGAGACGCTAAATTGGCACAGACGACGAAATAGTCTATGGTGCTCTTGCCTTCATCGGTGATGCAGGTGTGCTGGTCGGGCACGTAGTGGACGGCTGCCATGGTCTCGACCCAGTTGCGAACATTGAGCGCATCGATGTCGGAATTCCAGTCGCCACCTAGGATCCAGTCGAGGCCCCGTGAGTTCCATGCCGCAGCCCTCTGTGCCAAGGCCCACAGGACTTCAATGTTCTCGCCCGATATGCCAATAGACGTGACGAGATACACACTGGCGACTATGATGCCGCCTGCCACTCCCCAGTTAATCTGTGCACAGACTGCTCGTCCTGGGTAAATAATATGCCCATCATCAGGTGGGGCTGTGACCATGATGTATGTCGGCACAAGTACAGCGACCCCTCCGAAGTTGTACGTAGCTGA